CATTTGCTCCACATAATGCATCAAAAACATATCCAAGGAATGTTAATGGAGTAGGAGTTAGATATGCATTCGATGCTTTGTCTTGCTACAGATACTAAGCTTTACAAAAATTGGAGTTTCAGACACACTCTAACCCTAGGTTCACACCTAAGCGTTTTCTGCAGCGGTTTGCAGAAACGCACTACAGTCCATTTAACATGATCTCCTATGGGACATGTTCATATCTCCGCGTTTTCACCAGGTGCAGTTTTTGGAAAGGGTCAGGGACTTTTTTGATCACAAATAGTTGCATTTTTGGTTCCATAGACTTCAATGGAAATGCTGCAGAAAAGCATGCAGTGCGTTTTTTAATGCCTTTTTGCCACGTTTTAAATCTTCCTAGCAACAAGAAACATTTTCTAAAAAAGAAAAAAAAAACAGCGGCAAAAAACGCAGGTGCAAAAACACAAAACACAATGCGAAAAGCAATGCAGAAACTGCTCAAACGCAACGTGCATAGGTGTGAACCTAGCCTAAACCATTTCATCAACCTTCATCCATAAGAAGGGGAACCTGACAAGGATGCCTCTTTCCTCCATCCCATTAGCCTTGCTCCATTTAACACACCTTTGTAGAATCAATCCAAACATTTATGGAGCAGATTTTAGGGCCACATCTTTTAAAGCAAGTTTATATGCGGATGACCTGCTCCTAATCCCAACACAATCATTTATCGCCCTACCTAATCTATTTTCCACTCTCAGGAAATTCTCTAAAATATCTGGCCTAATTATTAAAGTCATCTCTAATATCTCACTTCCACATGCTACACCTAACTTCTCTTAAGCAAAACCTTAATTTAAACTGGTTGAACTCCTATTTAGGCTACTTGGGAGTGTGCTTAAAGTGGTACTAAACCCAGGACCCTGCATTCACTATATCTGGGTCCCCCCAGTACACAGAACATGGAAGTGCAATTATATTAGTAAAACCCCCCCCCCCCCCCCCTCCCTAAAAACTGCTAAATACCTTTTCTCATCAGCACTATATAGCAGTCTTGTGACTTCTATCAGTGTCCAGATGAGCACTGGCTAAAGCTTGTAGGAAGAGTTTTCATTCTTCTCTAACTGTCCTAAGAGGCTGCATAACCCTTGACCCTCTGCCTGGACAGTGCTGAGTGGACCTGTGCTGATCACATAAACCTTCCCCCCCAAAAAAAACCTCTCTAGCAATAGGTCTGTATTATCAGCAGATGGGGACAGTAGAAGAAGTGGAGGATCAGAGAAGACAGGATCAAACAGCCTTTTTACACAATGCAGAGGATTAACCCCTTGGGTTCCACAGTGAGTATAACAAGCATGCTTTACAGAACATACAGGCTGATTTTACTGTTGTGGGTTTAGTAACACTTTAATGCAATCTCTATTGACTCTGTACTGGAAGAACTATCTTACAACTTTTAGGAGTCAAAACTCATATCTTCCTTGTCAAAACATAACATCGCTTGAACAGGGAAAACGAACACCAGAAAAGTTACCATATTGCCAAATTTTTGCACCCTTCCTATCCCCATTCTGACTTCTAAACTGAACTAATTTCAAAACCTTGTTAAAATTATTCAAAATGAAATTCATACAGTAAATGACCAGGATGGCTCCATTTACACAAATATTTCATAGAAGCTCAAATTACTACACTGATCTCCTTATTCACCTCAATGAAAATTTCCTACATGGGTAGACTTGGAGGCCCACTGTTGCTCACCTGTAATCCCCTGAGCACTCTTGGCTCCCATCCCAATCAAGACCTCACGCCTACCTTTGTTCTCAAGAGGCAATCATTATTCTCTCCTGGCACCTTTCACTGGTGGAGCTCTCATGAGTTCCAGGGTTTGTACTCTTTCAATAGTTGCTGCACAGTCTATAGTTGGACTGGGATCAGGGAGACATTTAATGTGGTTGCAAGGCTTGAAGGTTTTTTTTTTACATTCACACATTCTTTGCATGAAGGTAAAAAATCTTCAGTATGCAGCTCCCCCCGCAGAACCTCCATATACTTACCCAAGTCCAATCCCAAGATGTGGACGAGAGCAACTGTGTCTTTGTCCCTCCTCACTGGCTCAGAGACATTGGATCCCGCTGCTGTCAATACCAGCCAGTGAGGCGAGGGTGGGTGGGGGGCTTGGGAATACACCCAAGTGTTCCCATAGCAGAAAACTTGCTATGGGGGCACTCGGCAGGGGGGAGGAGTCCAGAGCGTCATTAGGAGACCCGAGAAAAAGAACAATCAGGGTAGATAAGTATACCATGCTTGTTATTAAAAATAGATAAATAAATAAGCCTTTAACATCACTTTAATGCCCCCCCCCTCTCAAAGATATTTGATATATGCAAATTTGCTTACATCAGCAACAGCTAACAAATCTCACATATCAAATATCTGTTTTGAGCACATTTGCAACCATATGCCTGTCTCTCTCAAGCTGACATCTATATCCAATTCAAATTGTTGCCTAAAATTGCAGTATATACACAAGTTTTGGAAAGGAAGCTCAATGGCACAAAGCAAAGATGACAGGCAACAAATTTGATCTACAGTTGTTTCTTCAATCAATTTAACCTCTATAAATGCAATCTCAGCTAACCTGGCATTTAAGGTCCTCACACATGGTATCCATTCAGAATGATGCAACTCAATCCCTTACTCCTGGATTTGAGAGGCTGTAGTGCTGCTGGAGATGTGCTGTACCTTTGATGGTCCTGTCCTATGTTGAGCAGATTCTGGACCAAGGTATTTAAATGTTATTTAGCAGTCCCTTCCCGAAATATCCCTGGCTTGTGCTTCTCCATCTCAAACCCCATTTCCTCACCAAATCACAATTCAAACTAACTACTTTGGTATTATTAGATGCCAAACAGTTGGTGAGGCCTGCCGGAAGAAATTTACGCAATCAGCAGAGGTCAGGCAATGCATAGACTCATTTATCATCAGTGTAGTAGTACACTCATGAACACTCACAAGAAATTTCTTTTTGTCTGGGCACCATGTATCCAATACACATATTCCTCAATTCCGCCTGAATGCTGTACCTCTATGGAAAACTCAATTGTCCTCTCTCCATGCTTCCCATGCATCTGCCCCCCAAGCTTTCTGTATTTCCTCTGTCTCTTAACTTCCTTTCTTCAGTGCTTCCACTATGTTAATGCTTCCCATTTCACAATGTTCCCACTCACATTTCCTTATAGGAGATATGCTCATTAAAATAACTAGAAGTTACGATGGTATGGAGAGGTTTTCTTCCTCACCTTTTGTAACCAGAGATGTTGTCTGTGGTTTAATCATTCAGAAGCTCTGTGTGTCCACTAATAACAGTCCCACATGGTCCTGCACTAAGTACCCTTATTGTATAGTAGTCGACTGTTAACCATACAAACTTGTGAATCTCAGTAACTTAACTGAATTATCTTTAAAATCTCAATCAAAATCTACTGAAAGAGAAAAACGTAAGTGTAAATGAACTAGTCTTATAGAATCATAGAATGAAAGGAGTTCAACAAAGAACCAATGGAATCCAACTTAAAGTAATGGGGAAAAAAGGCTTTATGTAACTTTTCATTATTTTCTCTAGTTTGTGTAGACATTATATACACTATATCGCCAAAATTATTGGGATGCCTGCCTTTACACAAACTTTAATGGCGTTCCAGTCTTAGTCCGTAACAACTTCAACTCTTCTGGGAAGGCTGTCCACAAGCTTTCGGAGTATGTCTATGGGAATAATTGACCATTCTTCCAGAAGAGCATTTGTGAGGTCAGGCACTGATGTCGGATGAGAAGGCCTGGCTTTCAGTCTCTGCTCTAACTCACCCCAAAGGTGTTCTATTGGGTTGGGGTCATGACTTTGTGCAGGCCAGTCAAGTTCCTCCACCCCAAAATCACTGATCCATGTCTTTATGGACCTTGCTTTGTGCACTGGTACGCAGTCATGTTGGAACAGGAAGAGGTCATCCCCAAACTGTTCCCACAATGTTGGGAGCATGAAATTATCCCAAATGTCTTGGCATGCTGTTGCCTTAAAGAGTTCCCTTCACTGAAACTAAGGTGCCAAGCCCAACTCCTGAAAAACAATCCTACACCATAATCCCCCCCCCCCACCAAAATTTACACTTGGCCCAATGCAGTCAGGCAAGTACCGTTCTCCTGGCAACCACCTAACCCAGACACCTCCATCGGACATCAGACAGAGAAGCGTGATTCGTCACTCCAGATAAACACATCTCCACTAGTCTAGAGTCCAGTGGCGGTGCATCCAACACTTTGTATTGCACTTGGTGATGTAAGGCTTGGATGCAGCTGCTTGGCCATGGAAACCCATTCCATGAAGCTTTCTATATACTGTTGTGCTAAACTGAAGGCCACGCAAAGTTTGGAGGTCTTTAGCTATTGACTCTGTGGACAGTTGTCGATTTCTGCGCACTGTGCACTTCAGCATGTGCTGACCCCGCTCTGTAATTTTATGTGGCTACCACTTTGTGGCTGAGTTGCTGTTGTTCCCCGTTGATTGCATTTTGTTATAATACCACTAAAAGTTGACCGTGGAAAATTTAGTAGGAAATTTCCCAGATGGACTTATTGCACAGGTGGCAACCTATCACGGTACCATGCCTGAATTCACTGTGCTCCTGAGAGCAACCCATTCTTTCACAAATGTTTGTAGAAGCAGTCTGCATGGCCAAGAAGGTGATTGGAACACCTGAATCCAATGATTTGGAGGGGTGTCCCAATATTTTTGGCAATATAGTGTATATATGTGTGGTCAATTGCATTTCATGCATCATAACAGAAAAAAAAACAAAAACCTTAGACTCCACCCTAACCCTGCACCCATTCTGCTTTATTTCAGAGCTCAATTCCACTTTTGTAAGCATCACCCATTCGATATAAATCGTGAGAACCCCACTAAAGTTGGAACATTAATGAAGGAACTTTGCAGGGAAAAAAAAAAACACTCCAAAACTTACCACTGTAAAATAAAGGCTCCATAGAAGATTGTTGTATTCCAGCTCCCCACCTCTAGGGTGTATGCACTCTTTAATGTTTCGTAGTATGGCATGAAGCAGGCTAATCGTGCCTTCAAGAATGAAGTCCATTTCCTCTGCAAGATCTTCTTCCCTCCCATGTCACTCTGGGAACATAAAGAAAAGATTATGAGACTAAACAAAAGTAAACAGAAATGAGCAAAAAATTGGGAGAGTTTTTGACAACGGATGGTGAAACTCAAATGCTGCTATAAAATTTATACATGCACATTTTTCTCTTTTATCCATTTAAACATGCTGCAGATACAGAAAGTAACTGTTCTTGTGCCGAGTATATATAGTATGCTCCTACCTCTTTGACTTCAACAAAAATCAAAACAGGTATTTTTTTACTTATTGAACAGATATATCAAAACACTTTCAATAGCGTATTTAATAGATCGAAAGGTAGCAAATAAGAAGTTCATTGTAGGAGTTTACATACATTTTTAATGTAAAAAAGGAGTCTAAAAATCACACATTGTTCTATAAGGTGCCTGGCATAAATTGCGTGCACCCCATAGAGTAGCCTCTCTCAACTGGAATTCCGCGGAAACAATAGGTTCCTCCTGAGGTTGTTGAGGATTTCTTAAAGGGTTAGCTCACCTTTACCAAAAAACTGCCTATGCAGGTAATGGGTGCCTTTAGATGACCAGAGTTAAATCATGCCATTGCTATACATGTAGGCCATTTACATACCTCCTGATGTCTGGCCAAAAAACTCCCAGAGATGGCATCATCTCATCCTGCCTTGTCCAAGGACATTGCTAAGAAACTCCCTGTGGATTAAACTCCCTTGCATGCGCTCTCTTCCCCACTGTTGCAGTAGCTCTAAACTCAGAGAAGTGGCAATGGAGAAGACAGTGGAGCAAACCTGCAGGATTTTTAGAGCTCACTCCTGGTATGATGGGGTGAGCAGTAACAGCTGGGATTATTTTAGCAAAGTCCTAGCAGCAAGACAGATTATGCCTAGAGTAAGGGCATTATCCAGCTTTAGTCAAGGCTAAATAGTTTATTGTGATACAAGTGCTCCTTATCTGCATAGGTAGTTTTTAGGGAAGGCAAACTAACTCTTTTAGCAGTGAGAAATGGCCAATTGATCTCTCACTTATACTAACCACCTATGCAAGGGGGAAATTTAGCACTAACCACCAATGTAAAGGGTCACTTCTACACTCAGCACCAAGGTAAGGTAAAACCATTATTATGTAATCAGCTGTAGGTTTGGTCATTTTTACCAAGGATTCCCCAAAACCTGAACATTATTTAAAGGGTTCCTCTGAGGTAAAAGGCTATGATTACCTACTAACCACTGCTGCTGCCCAAATTGGCAAGATTGCGAAAACAACTGAGTTCCTTATAGCTTGCCATACACGTAGGTGTGAGACCATTTGGAGATAAAAGACTTGTTTCCCATAAAACCTAACCTGCCAAATTTTCTAATGCAATATCGGTGTTCCCCATTCCGTTAGAGCTCACACACCCCAAATGATCAGTGAGCCACCACCATTCTTCAGAATGGGGATGGTATTCTTATCGTAAAAATCCTTGTTGACCCCTCTCCAAACATAGCGCCTATGGTTGAGACCATAAAGCTCTATTTCGGTCTTGCCACTCCAGATTACAGTGTGCCTGAAGTTGTGAGGCATACTGTAACCAGGCTTTTTTTGTCACATTGGTGCAGTAAAGGCTTCCTTTTGGCAACTCGACCATGCAGCGCATTTTTTTTTTTCCAAGTATCATTGTATTGTACTCCTTCAAATAACACCATCTTTTTCCAGAGCAGTCTGTATTTCTCCTGAAGTTACCTGTGGGTTTTTCTTTGTATCCTGAACAATTCTTCTGGCAGTTGTGGCTGCAATCTTCCTTGGTCTACCTGACCTTGGCTTGATATAAAAAGGTCCCTGAATTTTCCACTTCTTAATAAGTGATTGAACAGAACTGACTGGCATATTCAATGCTTTGAATATTGTTTTATATCTTTTCCATCTTTATAAAGTTCCATTACCTTGTTGACAGTTCTTTAATGCTTCCCATGGCTCACCATCTAGCCTGCTCAGTGTATCCATGTGAGAGCTAACAAACTGACTATTTAGTCCAGGTTCACACTGGATCCAACTTTCAAATCGTGTGACTTCACTTGAAGTCACACGATTTCAAAGTCGGATGAAGTGCGACTTCATCAACAGATGTCTATGCAAGTGGAACCTGAAATCGCAAAAAAGTAGTGCAGGGACTTCTTTCAAATTGGGTGTACTTGTCATAAGATTTGAAACAGTCAGTTGTACCATTTTGTTATGACCTACAGTTGAATATGAGTCCCATAAGAAATAAAAGAAACGTGTTATTATTATTATTATTATACAGTATTTATAAAGCGCCAATAGTTCGCTCAGCGCTGTACATTACAAAGGGGGACAGAACATGTGACAGAACAATAGCAATACAATGCAAAACATGAGGGGATCGAGGGCCCTGCTCTTTCGAGCTTACAATCTAGGATGCTGTCTCACTCATGTTCTCTTCAAAGATGGTAAATATTATAACCAATTCTCCAAGGGTATACAAACTTTGAAGTACAACTGTGTATTCTAATGCATTCAAACAGCCACAACACTCATGGCTGTCTGGATACTCAAAGAGTGATTATGTCTGGCAGGATGCAGTCACTGTTCAGTCAATCATTTTCCACCAGTCTCATACAATTTAAGATCAACTTTTGTCCAGATGGGTGGTGCTGTCAGGGCTTCTATTGGCTCAAATTTTTAACCATTTCAGCAGGATTCAGCCAGATGTATGGCTAGCTTTAGCAGTAGGACTACTAAAAATATCTTAACTCACATAGCGAAGATTTTACTCCACAATATAATTTCTTCATCTGATAAGTTAACTAAAATTCTCAGTAAGTTTTTAGTCTTTTTAGCAACCCACAACTCACTGCATTCCTAACATGGCAAACAAGCCTCTATCCTGGAATGGAATCAATAAAAGATATCACATTGTGAAATGTTTATTTACCACCTGTGTACATGTGGAATTGGACATAAAACAAATAATAATTTTCTCTCTGGGATTTGTCTACTTTCAGCCCCCTCCCCATAAAGTATTCATTGATCCTGATTTCAGGCATTCTACCAAGTGCAATGATTAGCAGTAAAAACTATTTTGCGTATCTCTCAAGTTGAGGACAAACTGAAAAGCCTAAACTTTCTCTCACAGTAAATAAGCTGGCTTTAAAGGATAAATTCACCTTTTCGAGCAAAATGTCACTTTTCATAAGAAATAGAAGTGTTTTCCAAAACCATTTCTGGCCCAGCCATCCAATGTGCTTTTCATTGACTTACCTTATCCCATAGGTGGTTTAGCATTTTGTCAGTTTATTTGAATTATTGAAATGATTTTCAGATTCCATCACTTCCAGTAGAATAGCTTTCAGCAATCACTGCCTGTAGGTCATCTCCCAGAAGCCTTCACTTCCTTGTTGCATCACAGAAGAGGGTGTGATAGGGTGTGTTCACCACTCTGGACCACGCCTCCCTCATTACAATACTACCTTACACCCACTTTCTCTACAATTGTACAATCTCTTTTAGATCTCCCATCAGCTATGTAGTACAAGGGCCTGTCTGATTTGATACAGATAGAATAGATTGTTCAGGTGTGTCCTCCTATTCCATAGTTCTGGTAAATCTAAAGGAAATTGTACAGAGATTGCATAGTGTATGATAATCGTTATACAAGTACATACAGTTGTGTTCAAAATAATAGCAGTCAGACATCACTAACCTGATCAATCACTGTTTTTGGTAGAAATGATATTTCTAGATGGCAAATAATTTACTAGCAGGTGTAGTAGAGTAATAGAAATCCAACTATCTCAACAGTCATGACATGCATGCTGCTGATTCTGTGTAATTGAATCACTAATTCAAAGGGGCATGTTCAAAATAATAATATAAAGAAGTGCAGAAAATGATAGGCTGCTCAGCTAAAATGATCACAAATGCTTTAAAATGGCAACCAAAACCTGAAAGACGTTTAAGAAAGCGAAAAACTACCATTCGAATGGATAGAAGAATAGCCAAAATGGCAAGGACTCAGCCAACAATCAGCTCCAGGAAAATCATAGAAGGTCTAAAGTTACCTGTGAGTACTGTTACAATTAGAAGACTCCTATGTGAAGCCAAGCTATCTGCAAGAAGCCCCCGCAAAGTCCCACTGTTGAAAAAAAGACATGTGCTGAAGTGGTTACAATTTGCCAAAGAGCACATTGACTGGCCTAAAGAGAAATGGTGCAAACATTTTGTGGACTGATGAAAGTAAGATTGTTCTTTTTGGGTCTAGTGGCTGGAGACAGTTTGTCAGACGACCCCCAAACACTGAATTCAAGCCACAGTATACTGTGAAGACAGTGAAGCATGGTTGTGCAAGCATCATGATATGGGGATGTTTCTCATACTACGGTGTTGGGCCTATTTATCACATACCAGGGATCATGGATCAGTTTGAATACATCAGAATACTTGAAGAGGTCATGCTGCCTTATGCTGAAGAGGAAATGCCCTTGAAATGGGTGTTCCAACAAGACAAAGACCCCAAACACACCAGTAAACGTGCAACATCTTGGTTCCAGACCAACAAGATTGACGTTATGGAGTGGCCAGCCCAATCCCCGAATCTTAATCTAATAGAAAACTTGTGGGATGACATCAAAAATGCAGTTTCTGAGGCAAAACCAAGAAATAGAGAAGAACTGTGGAATGTAGTCCAATCATCCTGGGCTGGAATACCTGTTCACAGGTGCCAGAAGTTGGTTGACTCCATGCAACACAGATGTACAGCAGTTCTCAGAAACAGTGCTTATACAACTAAATATTAATTAAGTGATTCAAAGGAAAGCAAAATCTTCAAACATTTTTCAGTTTATATAGTGAATGTTTGAGTTTGTAAAGAAGAATACAAACACTGCTATTTTTTTTTTAACAGTCTAATATTCACTTTTCTTCAATTTTTTTTTAGAGGAACAACACAAATTTGATATATTTTTCTTCATGTTTTGATTTGGAATAGAATGTGTAGTGTTCCCAATGCATTTGTGTGTATGGAA